TCTGCGCGTGTAGTTTCACAATCAGCATGGAGAGAGTTTCAGGCAGGAGGAGGCAGGAGTTCAGTTAGCCGGCTAGTGATGCTAACCGAGGAGTCTGCTGCCAAAGTCATGCAGGAGCACAACACAGAGCTAAAAATAGAAATGTCCTCAGCCACCCCTCACTTCTGATGTTTTTATAAATATGAGAATAGGTGCAGCAAAGTATCAAAACATCAATAAAAGAAAAGCATTAATCTAAGGTCATGATGTATAATCCAGGTAAATAAATCTAACAAGGTTGAGTCAGGTCCTCTGGAGGGATTCTTGTTAGACATATAAAGGAAAACAGTCCATCCATACAGCTGTTATTTTTATTCATATTGTATTTTTCAACATGTTTGAATTAACAGGAAGTAAGCTCTCCAACCATCATTATGACAAGCGTTAGAAACCAGTAGAACAAGCTTATATCTATATTTCTCACAAATGCAAGCTGACCAGACTCCTAAACCCAGCAGAAATTTTTCGTTTACGGCATCCGTTCCCAAACTTTTCGGCTTCTGAGCCCAAAAAGATCCAACGTCAAAGACTTGAAACCCCAGATATCTTTGGCTGGATTACTACCGGTGTTACTAAAAAAGTTAATAAATAATGGCAACACAAATAAGCTCATATTTTACTTTATCTTTTAACTAATCTTTCCATATTTTGTATCAAAAATATATATTATTTATTTTGGCTGTGCCCTACTTCAGATCTGATCACAAGCTCATCTTCTCTAACCTCAGTGCCACCACTCCCCTCCCCCCAAAATAAAAATGTATGCTAGTTGAAATTATTTAGAAATGTAGATTTAAAAGAAAATATTGTTTCAGGTCCCCAGCCTTATGTTTTGTGACCCGCAGTGGGCTCCTGACCTCATCTATGGGATTCACTGGTTTATAGTGATGGAGTATGATGGAGCTATAAGATGATTCAACTGCTTGAGCACTTCAAATCTGATGGTGCTGTCCTGTTTTCATAATTCAAAGTTCAGTGAAGTAAATAATACTTTTTAATATGCTCATAATTAAAGTGACTCTCATGAGGAAACTGAGACGCTTTGTGAACGTTTGGAAACTCCCTCCTGGATGTCCTTCAACATTTGTCGCCAACATTCAAGCCCAGTGAGATACCGGCTCATAAAACAAATTTAATTTTGTACGCTTGCATTCAGTTAAGGGATGACTGAAGACTCTGTAAACTCTTGCTGAGTCCAGCCAGATGTGTTTCGTTTCAGCTGTTGTGTGGTAACATCAAAGCACGAGTCGTAGTCGTCATGTCACATGAAATGCGGAAACTTCTTACACGCCACAAAGTGCAAAGCTCAACAGTTTCACTGATTTTCCTGGTTTCACTTTGCTGACTTTTATTCAGAAATGCTGTAAAAGGCTCAGCAGCGCAGAGGTGCAACAGGTGTGGGCTGTCTTTGACCCCCCTCGCTCCCTCGGTCCATTCAGAAGGTACAGAGGCAGTCAGAACAGTCTGGACCTCATCTTATATCTATCTTTCAGATCGGAGGCAATATGTTCAACATAATGGTACTTCCTCCTGTTCTTTAACAGTCAACAGTGATGTACCACAAGGCTCAGTCTTAGGACCCACCCTATTTACAATATACATAGGTAATGTAGGTCAGAGCATCCTTGATGCATCCTTACGTTTCTATGCTGATGACACAGTTGTTTATTGTCAAGCCAAAACAGTTGCTAAGGCTTTCCAGCTTTTGCAATCCGCTTTCGACATCATCCAGTCAGATTTGTTTATTTTTAAACTTGGGCTAAGTGCCGACAAAACCAAAGGGATGTTTTTTTTTTCCAAACAGGAAGTCAGTCCCAGCAGTTCTTCCTCTGATTTTATCCTCTCATGGTGTCCCTATTGAGTTTGTTGATTCCTATAAAAATTTGAGTATCTTGGTTGATTTGCATCTCTCTTTTAAGCTTCACGTGGAAAACCTAGTAAAGAAACTGAAAGTTAAACTGGGTTTCTTTTTCAGAAACAGATCCTGTCTAACTCTGAATACTGGGAAACGCCTTGTATCTGCGACTTTCCTTCCCTCCATTGACTACGGTGACATTATTTACATGAACGCTCCTACAAGCACCCTGCAGATTTTTGATGCTGTCTCATGGTGCACTAAGATTCATAACTGGCTGTACCCACTGTTGCACCTTGTATTCACTGGTTAATTGGACATCATTAACTTCACATAGACTCTCCCACTGGTACATTTTCATCTTTAAATCACTTCTTGGTCTTCTGCCTTCATACATCTCCTCCTACATGTCACTGCGTGAGTGCAGCTACAGCGTGCTCTCTCAGGACATTATTACCTGCAGTGTTCCCTCAGTGCGTACTGAACTTGGCAAAAGGGCCTTCTCCTACTCTGCTCCCGTTTCTTGGAATATCTTGCAAAAAGATCTGAAGCTCTCGACCTTGATTCTCTAAGTGGCTTTAAACATCTGTTAAGTTCCTGGCAAGAACCAATGCAGACATGTTCCTGTTTTTAGTTTTCTACACCGCCCTACAATCTAGCTGTTTTTCCACTACTTTTCCTTTTAATTACCATTTTCATTTGTAAAAAAAATAATTTGTATGCATCCTTTATGATTGTCTATTTTTGTCATTGTTCACTGTTGTCATCACTCTCTGTTAAAACCAGGTCTCTCTTGTAAGTGAGTCCCCGAGGCGCAATGGGACTAACCTGTATAAATAAAGGTTAAATGAATCTTGCAGAGAATAAAATCACACATCCAGGACATATTTGCATATTTAAATAGAGGCATGTCATGGGAGGTGTCAAATGTGCGCTCAGTTCTATCTGTGTTGGGATGTATGAAGGACACAACGTGTTTGATAAATACGAGTATTTTTGTGCGTACACATTTTTGGAATTTGGTTCATACTCCAACTTTCATTATGAAAGCTGAGCTCTCTGTCATACTTGAGGCCCCTGGTGAAATGTGAGTGTTCTCGAGATCTCAGTGACCTTCTGGTTCCACTAAAAGCCACTGGATCAGTAACTTTAGTAGATTCAGTGGGAAATGAACACTCTTCTCTGAGACAAACTGCTTTTTCTCTACAAGGGACTAACTTGTGAGATTTCCTTCCTTCCTTTTTTTCTGCTTTTCCCTCATCGAGGGTCTCCACAGCGAGTCATCCTCCTCCGTCTCACTCTGTCCTCCTTGTCCTCTGTCCTCACTTCACCTCCATGTCCTCTCTAACTGCATCCATATGTCACCTTTTTCCTGGCAGCTGCATTTCTAACATCCTCCTACCAAAATACCCACTATCCCTCCTCTGGACATGTCCAAACCACTGTCCCTCCTCTGGACATGTCCAAACCATCTCAATCAGTCTGGTCTTTAACTTTATCTCCCAGTTGTTCAACCTGTGCTGCACCTCTGATGATCTCATTCCTAATCTTATCCGTGCTTGTCACTCCTAAGAAGAACCTCAACATCTTCATTTCTGCCACTTCCAGTTCTGTCTCCTGTCTTTTTGTCCATGTCTCTGTCTCCAGACCATACAACAGAGCTGGTCCCACCACTGTCTTGTAAACTTTTCCTTTGATGTTTGCTGACACCCTTTTGTCACAAATCACTCCTGAAACTTTTCTCCATCCACTCCATCCTGCCTGGACTCTCTTCTTCACCTCTTTACCACACTCCCCATTTTCCTGGACAGTGGACCCCAAGTCCTTGAAGTCCTGCACCTTTGTGACCTCTGCTCCTTGTAGCCTCACTGTTCCCTCCCTGTCATTCACACACATGTACTCTGTCTTACTACGGCTGACTTTCATTCCTCTTCTTTCAAGTGCATACCTCCACCTCTCCAAGTTCTCTTCCACCTGTTCCCTGTTCTCACCACAGATCACAATGTCATCTGCAAACCTCATAGTCCACAGTGATTCCTGCTTGACCTCATCTATCAGTTCATCCCCACCCAGAGCAAACAATAAGGGGCTCGGAGCCGATCCTTGATGCACTCCCACCTCCACCTTGAAGCTATCTGTCACTCCTGCAGAACATCTCACCACTGTCCTGCTGTCCTCATACATGTCCTGTACCAGTCTTAATATATTTCTCTGTAGCTGCAGATTTCCTCATTCAACACCACACCTCCTCCTGGGATTCCCTTCCTGCACAACTTAAATTAAGTTTCTGGCTACAATCTTTTAAAAAGAGACTGAAGCTGCTTCTGAAGGACAGCCAGCTCTATAGTCATGAATGACTGTCACATTGTTTTACTGTGTTTTTGTATTTATTTTGCTTTTTATGATTTCAAGGGTAATGTTTTTATTATACACCCATCGAAAGGCCGAGTTCTTATATCTTCTCGGTAGTTGATAAACTCTTTTTTGTCCCACCCATAACTTCTGATCACCTCAAGGTAATGCAACAAAACTTCACACACACATGCGTCATAAGTCGACATAGTGTGGCTCAGACTTTTCATCCCTTCAGCTCCAAGGTCAAGGTCACAAATCAAGGTCACATGTTACACAAGCTCTGTGCTTGTTTGGAACATTTCTGTAGATTGCTGTATTTCTGTAGAATAGATTGTCGATGGACGTATAATGTACTGTTTGCGTTACTCTTGTTTCTATTCTTTTTTTCTTTAACCGTTTTAATTTATATAACGGTAAATAAAGATCCTCATTCTTTGACGGAAAATATATTGTCCACCACCTTGCACTTCTAAGTTTCATAACAGCCCCTCATGATCTATTATTTTTATAGGCTGGGAATGACTCTGCTTCTACCACACCAATGTTTAGCTCAATATCTGTGAAACTGACTGAGTTGTAGTTATTTTTGTGTTTGTTAAGGTTGATATGCTGTGGCGGCCATCTTCACGTGTATTAACATCACCTAAATGGATGATAAAACCAGTGAACAAGTTGTTTTTGTCACTGCGGTGTCGTATCCAGACCCCTCAGAAACTCATCATGTCTGTCGTTAATTGTCTGCAGAGCCCTGATGAAAATGGACTCGGACTTGCTCCACTCGCCGGCCGTGGGCCTCGCTGAGGAAGAGGAGGCTGACATGAACGACTGGAAGCTTCCGCTGGCCTTCATGAAGAAAAGACACTTGGAGAAGATTGAGGGCTCCAAGGCGTTAGCGCAGAGCTGGAGGATGAAGGACAGGGTAAGTTTTCTTCTTCTTTCTGTTCCTTGATGCTCAGAGCTGCACAAAGCTGCTTTGTCAGATATCTTCTGAAAGAGGAGAAGCTTTATTACCTGGAACTTCCTCTTAAACTTTACAGCGAAGACTCCCCGTAATAGTGTGAAATGTACACCTGCTTTTATTTGGCTTTCTAAAAATTGCCTGAAAAGATCAAATGGTATCTGTCAAAGTTTCTTTATTTGTCATACATGAGGTGCATGTGGTGGAATGAAATTGTGTACACAGGGTCCCAGTTAAATCCAACAAAGTCTAAATTGTAAAGAAAAACGGTAATAAGATCTGGTATGAACTAAGAAAAACGTTAAACTAAAAATACACTGAGCACTAGTAGTACAAAAACAATACGCCGAACAGCAGCACGAACATGAGTCTGTGAGAGCAGATGAGCATGAATGAACACAGCAGCATGAGATCAGCAGCATGGATAATCAGCAGCACATATCAACAATCAAGTGGCATTACAGTGATTTTTTTCACAGTGATTTTTCTGGTTAGAGATTCATGAGTCTTAACAGCCTCAGGGTAGAAGCTGTTCCTCAGTCTAGTGGTTTTACACTTAATGCTTCTCAACCTCCTTCCTGAGGGGAGCGGGGCAAAAAGTGTGTGTGCTGGGTGAGTGGGGTCCTTCATGATGCAGGTGGCCCTCTTCTGGCATCTGGAGGTGTAGATGTCTGTGTTAGTGGGGAGGCTGATTCCAACAGACTTCTGTGCAACTGGAGCCCATATTTGCAGTTTTACCCAACATTTACAGAGAAAGCATGATAAAGATATGCTGTATCGTCTGGCATGAGTACTTCAACATTTCATCAGGAAGTTGCTGAGTTGACTTGAAATTATGAACATTTTTTTCTGTTTGGGCAGGGAGATTAAAAGGCGTGTGAGCCAAAGAAAGTGCAGATTTGCCTCAAAATTTGAATCTTTTAATGTATTTCTGAATAAAATGAGTTAAATTACTTGTTTCATCAAGCTTAAGGAAAAGGCTTAACATGTTCAGAAACTCTGGTCTGCCTTGTCACAGTAAGACCTGAAACTGTTTGTATTAACGGGAACAAAGTCCAACTATCAGCACCTCAAAGGATCACAAATCATCGTCCTGTTATCAACCTGTCTCTGTTTGGACAGCCTCAGTCTTTCTCACAAAGAGCAGTGGATATCAGCAGTGGCTTTAAATTAAGCACATGGTGCCTTTAAAGGTGGTGGTAAACTTTAATAGTTTGCTTATCAGAACAAGATCAGGTTTAGCCTGATTTAATGCTAATGTTGACAGGGTTGTCAACATTTTAGAAACACAGAAAACAGCAGATTCTGCTGCTTTTTATCAGATTCATTGAGCAACGTGTTCACAAAAGGAGATTGAGCAGTATTATAAATGCAACTGATCCGTTGAATTTAAAGCTTACTAAAGTATAAAAAATGTTTTATTACTGCAACTTTCGTCACGCATCATTCATTAAATTCTTTTTTATTTGGAGTTTCAACTTGAGGGGACGTTCCTTTTATTATTATAAATTTCTCTTGTCCCACCCATAACTTCTGACCTGCTCAAGATAATTAAATTAAACTTTGTACACTTGTGCATCATCACTAGACAGAGTGTAGCATACACTTTTCATCACTCCAGCTTTAAGTTCAAGGTTACAAATCAAGGTCAAAGGTTACACAGTAGTCCCTCTTTACTTTGCGGTTCGTTTATCGCGGACTCGCTCTATCGCGGTTTTTCAAAATAAAATTAGACATGACACACAACTGGATGATTGATGATGAGCCACACGATCGGCATGGCATTTTTATTTAAAATTAATTATTTTCAATTATTTAGCATCTACTGCACCTTTGTGCAGCCCATACTGCAGGATAAACTTCCTGCTGCAGCTGATCAGCTGTTCTCTGCGCAGAGCATAGAAGTGGGCGTGGCCAAGAGCGCTTGCAGGTTGAGTGACACAGGCTGAGAGCAGCGGAGGCAGGGGAACTGAAACCATGACATTCTTTGCTCTTTTAGAGCGTTTAGAGTTTAGAAACATGATTAAGAATAGGGATGCACGATATTGGATTTTTGGCTGATATCCGATATGTTAAAACTTATTTGTCCGATAACCGATACCAATACTTTTTTCCTAGACCTACCTACAGAGACTACACAGCTCAGTTTGTCCTGCTACCAAATGCAGATGCCAAAAAGGGGGCTGAAAATTATGTAACACTATATAAATATATAATATGTAAATAAATAAATAATATATATATATATATATATATATATAAATACTAAAATAAACTACTACTTACTGCTTGTACTACTATTTCTACTTCGCAGTTTTTCACGTATCACGGGGCTTCAGGGTTCTTGTCCCCTGCGATAAACGAGGAACTACTGTGCAAGGTCTTTGATTTTCGGCGGCTTAACTCCTGATCCTTTTAAGATAATTTAACAAAACTTGATGCATGTTTGTACCACTACTAGGCGGCACGTTGTTTACTCATTTGATCACTCCAGCTCTGAGGTCAAGGTCACAAATCAAGGTCAAAGGCTATACAAGGTCTTTGCTTGTCCAGGCCATTGCCATAGATTGCTGTATAAGTTTGACTACGGGCGTATAATGTGTCGTGTGTGTGATTCTCATGTTCATATTTGCACATCAGATTCCTTCTAGTTTTAACCGAACACAACATAAATGTCCACGTCCACTTCTAGATCTTAAGATTTCAGTTATTGTGAAGGAAAATCAAGTACAAAATGCTGAAGACTGTGCTTTGACAGCTTGGTTTGAGCAGTTATGGTGACTGAACTTTTCATTGCTCCGTCTTTATTAAAATGCCAAATCATAACGCCCTGCTGAAAGCTACTTTTGTGCTACGTTTGGAGGGGGAACCTCAGATTTTTTCTTATGAACGGCAACAGAGCGTTTGAACTCTCGTAAAGCTGTAGTTTGAACCGCTGCACCGAAACCAGCCCGATTATCTCAATGCCTCGCAGCTACGAGGTGCTGCCATTATAATGATGGTAAATGTCACTTAGTCATGCATAACCATCACCAGCTCGTCAACCGCTGTAGAAATTCACCTAGATTAAATTTTAACACATGGCTTCTGTTAGGACACGGGTTAAATTAAGTTGCAGAACCTGCTGAAGTGTTGAGCTGCAGGCAAATGAAGACATCATTAAATGTGAGGCTATTGATTCAAAAGAAGTAATAAAGGCGGACCGAAATCGGCATTCCTATCAGAAAGTCATGCTAAATCTATAGTCCAACATATTTAATTACTCAGGGCATTTTCAGGTCTATATTTGTTAACCTGTAACAAGACTATATAATCCTGAATGCTAGTTGCCTTAGTGCCAGTTTTTGACATTTATGCAAGAATAATTTGGCTTTGATTTAATTTTTAGTTCAGGTCGTTGCTCAAAGTTTGGGATATGACGGAGTTCTTAAGCCACGATCTTTTTGTTACATTCAGTTTGACGTAGAGTGATGTCGTTTACATGCCTCACTGTTAAAATCTCAGGTCGTTGTGGCTATAATAAATAATTTATAAACCTTTTGCACCTCTGCTGCGACGCATTTTGTTGCAACTCGAACTTAAAATCTAAAAATCTGTTGCAGAGAAAAATACGAATATGCAGTAAGCTGGTTGAGTAGGTGTGCAAACCCTAAATAACAATTACATTTTTTGTTTTTAGATTGAGCAGAATATAAAAGAGCACAAGCCAGTGTATCTCTTGTGCCAGTCCCAAGCCCGGGTAAATGGTGACGGTTGTGTCAGGAAGGGCGTCCGACGTTAAACACTTGCCAAAACTATAATGCGAGTTATGGCCTGGAGATCGTGGCATTGACAAAAAGACGGGAGAAAGAACTGGAAGTGGTGGAAACGAAGATGTTGAGGTTCTCCTTAGGAGTGACGAGAATGGATAAGATTAGGAATGAGATCGTCAGAGGTACAGCACAGGTTGAACAACTGGGAGATAAAGTTAGAGAGGACACACTGAGATGGTTTGGACATGTCCAGAGGAGGGACAGTGGGTATACTGGTAGAAGGATGCCAGGAAAAAGACAGAGGAGATATATGGATGCAGTTAGAGAGGACATGGAGTAGCTGGAGTGAGGACAGAGGATGCAGAGGACAGAGTGAGATGGAGGAGGATGACTCGCTGTGGTGACCCCTGAAGACAGAAAAGCCAAAAGAGGAAGAAGAAATTGTGCAGAATATACAGTATATGTATGTCACAGTAAAAATTACATTATTTTGATTGTAGTTTTTCTTATTACATCACAAACACTAGAATTTTAATAATATTGTGTATATTTTTTATACCAAATGTACAAAACAAGAATCCTGATAAAAGGATCCTGCAGCAGCAGCAAGCGTGTGAGGAGGACCTTCCCTTCAGTGATGCTCGGCACTGTGGGAAATCAAAGAAGAAAAGGCAGAGGCTTCACAATTACTCGCCTCATTGGTCAGTGTTTGTCTTTACTCCCCCACAGGACCGGTGTCTGCGTGTGCCACTCGTAGTGGAACATCTATGTGTGCACACTTGCTGCACCAATAAAGACTGATAGGAGTCTACAGATAAACTGTGCGCTTGACAGTAGGGTCAAAGGTCAGGGGCTAACTCAGATCAGAAGAAAGCTCTTAAAAGATTAAATGAAAGTTTAGAGAATTGTTTGGTGCCGTTTCTATCACTTCCTCTTTATTGAGACGACGGACTGTTTGGGGAGTTAATGAGTGGTTTTAAGGTTTGCAGTGATTTGACTTGGATAAAGTAACTGAGACCACCAGTGTCGATAGTTCCAGTCCTCCCAAAACAGAGAGCAACAAGCCTTTATCTCAGACCAATAGGGGAAGTGATTGCATCACAAAACTGTTACAAAGCAAAACACCGACTGTTTTTTCAGCTTCATTTGTGTCTAATCCTTGACAAAAAAACTTTTTGAAAAATGTAAAGTGCAAGGACTCGACTGAAA